GCTTTGTATATAAAATGAGTGCCATCATGCAGATATTTTTAAAGAGTTGAAATCCAAAATAATTTTAATATAAAATTCAAGTTATAAATCACAGGATATGTTTTAAGGAATCTAGTGATAATAGGTCAAACAACCTGAAAGAATCAGCTTGTGGTACAAGCTTCGTTGCATTAATAATGTCACAGTTAGTATGTTTATTAAATTAAATATTACCAGCAAGGGTCTTCTAAATGCCACGTTCCTAACACTAGATTACATATTTATTTCAGAGTTAGCATAGTAAGAGGGGGAGCTATCACTAGAAGGTCTATTAAGCCATGTTTTTTTTTTCATTGCTTTAATGGAACTATTCAAATCAAATTTTTCACGCCATGCCTTGAACACCGCTGCAAACCATACTGTGGGTGTAAAATACATGCAAGGCAGATATAATCAGCTCAGATGAGACCAGCGACTTGTACACCACCAAGTTTACTTTATTGTGAAAGCAGTGGGGTTTTCTTTCAAGTGAATATATTTTTAAATATGTTGCAACCTAACTTACAAGCTGAAGACAGGAACCAGGAAGGCCCATAAATCTCAAGGCAACTGAATTAAACCAAGTATAATGCCATGCCTGAAATCTTGCCTAGTTCGCCTTATCTTGTTCTGGCAAAAGAAAATCTGATGGGCCAAATGTAAATCTTGCACTCAGATTGTAACTTCAATAAATCATATAGACTCAACTTGCTTGAAAAGTCTCAGCTGACCTTCTAAAAACCTGATTTTACTGGTATTACACTAAAAATTTATTCTTTCCAATATTAAAATTAGCCAAGTAACTGCCCACATACCAGAGTAAATTAAGTATTTTGTAAATCGAGGGCTTATCACTGGTCTTTAAAGGTGCTGACTTCTGTGGCCACTGGCTTGCTCAGTCCGTGGACCATGTGACTCAGTCTCTGGGTTCTAAGTTCGAGCCCCACGATGGTTATAGAGACTACTTAAAAATAAAATCTTAAAAAAATAAATAAATAAAAGAAGCTGACTTCTTCCTAAGTTTGTCTAAATAATAGTTGCTTTTCCTTTGGGGAATCTAGATCGGTTTGTTTTCACACAGGTTCATAAGTTCTACTTTTTTCCTAACCCCACGGGGTAAAAAGCCTACATGATAAAATAACTAATATACACACAAAAAATGTGCTGCAACCTGAGGTCATTTTACAAAATCACTTACGAACACAAACACGTTGCCCAAATATTGCTACAGAGAGTTTTTTTTAAGTTCTGCAGGAATATAAATGGTCTCTATGCAACAAGGCTTTTGTTCCTAGCCTGCACCCTCAAGAGAAAGTAGAACATCCTTGAAAGCTTCAATGCTATAAAGATAAATACTTAACGTCACCAAAATGATGGGTCAAAGAGTTTTACCAGTAGGATTTATAAGAAAATATAACTGCAGGAGGAAAGAGGGTTCAGAAAGTTCTCTAAATACCCTAAATTACTACATTTTAAGAGCTCGGGTGATGTCAGCCAACCCTAAAGAGACAGAAACAACCTGGCTTTGGAAGCAAACTTATCAGTAAGCTTCTGCTAGGCCTAAAAAGGCCGTCATGTCCTAAATCCTAGCGGGTCGCCTGGCGCGTGGCTCTTGAGGAGCTACAGGCTGGAAACGGCGCCCTCAGTCACAGCCAAGGTCGCGGCCCGGCAGCATCGGACTCCGAGGACGCAGAAGGAGTCCCCTGGACTCCGGGCCGGCAGTTGGGCCCGGGTTGCCAGTCTAGACCAGCGCCCCGAATCCCTGTCTGGACTGGGCCAGGACAGCCAGAGCACAGCCGCCGGCCCACCGGCCAAGCAGGGGAGCCTCGGCCCGGGCTCCACGTCGGGGAGCGGGCCTCCCGCGCGGCCTCACTCGCGGCCGAGCTCCTGCAGGCGCCCGCCCCCGCCCCGCCCGCCTGGGGTGGAGGGCGCCCAGACCGACGGCGCTAGGCCCAGGCCAAGAGCAGCCTCGCCCGCCGGGGCCGCACGGACCGCCGCCCGCCGCCGCAGCGCGCTCTGGCTCCGCCTCCCGTCTACACTGACCCACGGCGTCTGCCTCGAAGGTTAGGAACCGAGGGCACAGCACCTCTGGCTGGAGCAGCGCCGGCCGGCGGCGGCACTTAACCCCGAGCGGGTGGTTGCAAGTGAGTTAAGATGGCGCGGAATGCCAGTGGCGGGAAGGCGGGAGCCAGGATGCAGTGCTCGCCGCACGCTCGCCTTTTTTCTTCCCGTCTCTTTTAGAAAAGACACTGCTGAAAACACACTTTTGGAAAACTGAGGATATCTGCAGGTTGCGGGGAGGATTCCGTCCTCGCCTGACCCCTGCCCTCACGGAGAACAAGCGGCAAATCGAAATCTAACCCGGGACGCGAACTTTGGTTCCCACGGGCCCTCCCAAATCCAAACTCTGATTTCCTTGGAACAGCAGCAGCTCCTCAGACACAGCGACAGTGTCACTTCACTAGACACCAAGACATTGAAAGCGAGCAGAAATGATCATGCTTGAAAGGGACAGGAAAGCACACTGCCTCCGAGAGGAGCGCGGAGCTGCAAATTTACCTCACGCTGACTCAGTCCACACAGCAGATGGTGGAGATGGTGGCAGAGCTGCAAGGGAAACGACCTCCCCAATTTTTTAAAGTACTTCCTAATAGTGGCGTCTTTCGGTACAAGGCACTACGTTCCTGTGAAATCTATCCTCGGCTGCTGAGAGCTTCGTTTCCGCACATGACAGCAGCTCGTTTGCTCGCCGTGCCCGTGGCCCGAAGACGACGGGACGAGCGCGGCCCCCCGCCCCCCGCGCCCTCGGGCCTCGGCGCCCCCCGCGCTCTCTGCACCGCACGTGCGCCTCCTCCCCGGCCGCACTGGGCGGCCGGCTCGCAGGAGCGCAGACCCAGTGGGGGGATTACAAGAAAACACTGCTCAACTTCTCCGGCTACACAGGCACCGTGTTTTGTACTTTTCGTACCCTCGTTCGGGTCTTAGGTGTGGGAAGGGTGAAAGAAACACAAAGGAAAATCAGCCATCGCCTTTCTGTGTGGCAGACAAAACTCCGCGGAACGCCGTCTAGTGGCGAAATTGTCCAGGGACAACAAACCGGGTTTGTTCCCCGCCCCCCGCCGCCCCCCGATTTTTCCTTTTAATTGGAACTTTGAAAGCCTCTTTGCATCCCTCAAATTGCAAAGGGGTTTCGGGACAATCTCTACGTGGTGGTACATTTAGTCCCATAACCTGAAACTGACCCAGACTAAGCAAGAATGTTGAACCATTTTCCACCTCTTTCCTGGATCTCCTTTCTCTGGAGACAAAAGTAACAAAAAATATCTTCTCCACGAGATAAAGTCAGAGCTCTGCGGACTCCTCGACTAAGACGCAGCGACCCTACCCCACTCCCACCCCCCCAAGCTGGGACATCCACGTTTCTGCATTTGTTCTCAAGGGATGGGAATCTGGCCTGGGCAGGACTGGTACAGGAATTCCACAGTAGAAGAGATGTAATGGTACCCCCCAGATACCTCCCGAAGCAAGTTTTAAGCTCAGTGCTTAAATACCGACCATTCCGAGTTTGTTCTATGAGTCCTTACCCCACTCCAACCCCCCCCCCCCCCCCCCCCCCCCCCCCCGAAACATACCGCTGAAGAAATACAGGCCATTCTGTGTTTGCAGTTACAGATTCGCCACACATCTCCAAGGCCTCGTATTTAAAGACCGGGATTTTCGACATCTGCCTAAAGCGGTGGTCAACAGCCTATTCTGACACGCATTTCAATTACATCCTACTCTTGCCCAAAGCCTCCCGCCTGTGAAATTTAAAGAAATTCTTAAGTCCTTATTTAAGACCCTCCTTTTCCTGCTTGCATTATTTCCGACTTCAGAGAAAATCAGAGAGCTATGATGAGGAAGTGCCTACATTTTCCTGGGGGGAAAAAAGTGCAACAAAGTGAAACTTGACTCATAGGGAACTAAGTTACTTGTAAATAAGAAGGAAAAAGTAATTACTGGTAGTGCTATAAAACAAATTCAAGTGGGAAATGGGACATGATTCCCATTACACAGACTGCCCCATATTCAAGTGGGGACGGGCTATTCTTCCTTAACCCTTAAAAGTAATCACCTATAATAAAATATTTTCAAACTGTAAACTGCTTTCAAACACCATAGCGTTTTACCAGATTTATTTACTTGTTATACACAGACGATACAAACGAGCAAAAAACAAAACGTTTCTCAATGGAGTGTGTACTTGTATAAATTATTCAGTTCACAGACAAAACGAAACAAATATAAAAATCACAACATTAGATTTACAGAAGAGCCAAAATATACACACGTTTAGACCCTGAATTCCTATTAGGAAAAATCCCCCCATGGACTGGAATCTAGATTGAATATTGTGTATGATGCATATTTCACATTAATTTTAAAATACAAAAAAAAAGTATAGGTTTGCTACACAACATTAGAAATCCTACTAATCTATTTCCAGGGGGATTAATGCTCCTTATCAAATATAACAAGACTTAGAGGGGGGAAAAAACCAGTCTTACTTGCATTAATGCTAGTGTTTTCCCAAGGAAGTCAAATTTCAGCTGTTTCTAGGTGGCAGGGAAATCATTTTCAAAACTAAAATGCAGTAAAATATACAACTCACACAATTTATCTTCACTAGACTACACTATAGTTACCAACAATTCAGTCATCTATATCATTAGTAGAATATTCATTACAAAGATTTACAGCATATAAAGGTGGAGGGGGGACTGAAAAGATATTCAGAAACAGTTTTTCAGCATATTTGGCACCTGCACAGACCAGTAATGGATTTGGCACTTTGGGGAAAAACAAATAAGGCAAAATAATATTGCTGATGTAGAGCTATTCTATTGGGGGGGGAGGTGTTGGGGTGGGACATACAACTCCAGTTAACTTTTCTTTGCAGGCATCATGCCACTTAATGGACTTGCCTATGAACAGACACCTATCCTTTACAGGTGTTTGGTCGGATTCTCCTTAGCTATTTGTGTGCATTAGGGCACAGAGTAATTATTTCATGCAACGGATTGAGGAGAAGTGAGAAACCCATCATTATCTATCAAGTATTTCACGTTTCCAGAGCCTCTTAGAATATTGTTAATTATCTCACAAGGCAATTTTTTAAAGTGGAGGGGGGTGGAGAAAATGGCAAAGAAAGGAAAAGAATGTAAAGGTTAAGCGTGAACTGGTTTTGTGCCTTGACGATGAAAATAAAAACTAGCCATTCGGTACAATAAATTAACACTATATACAGTCATTTCACAGGCTTTGTTCCACTAAAATTATTAACATCCCTACCATCCATCCATCCATCCATCCACTCGGGGATAAGAAAGGACGCGCTGGGTGGGTCCAGGTTCTAGAGTCAACATCCTACGGTTTAATGGGGAGGCCGAGACTTGGAGGGTCGGAATCGCTGCTGCCTGACAGGACTGCCCAGGTCTCCTAAAGGTGAAGAGTTTCATTACAAGAAAGAGAAGGAGAGGGTGAGAAAAAGACGAGAGGGAGGAGGCTTGTTAGGAGTATAACTTCACAGAAGGAGAGTAAGGAGGAAAACCAAAAGGTTTACAGCAAAGTTGAAGGTCGGTGTGCTAACTGCAGAAACTGCTGTGCAAAAAAAGGTTAAAATCGCACTCGGAGACCTGTGCTTATTCGTTGCAGACGGTATTCGAGGGCCAAATAACAGGAGGGGGTGCGCGAGGTGGGCCGTGGGGAGGAAGAGCTGGGGAGAGCTGCGAGGGGCTGGCTGGGGGGCCGGGCGGCGGCGGGGCGCGGGGCCGGGCGGGCAGGGCCGGCCTAGCTGTGCGAGTAGAAGCCGTAGTAGCCGCCTATGTCCTTGGCGCAGTTCTTCTCGCAGTCCCGCTGGGCCAGCACCTCGCTCTTGAGCGGCGACGAGCTCTCCGACACTGGCGTGTCGGCGGGTGAGATCCGCCTCCGCTTGGCCTGCTCGTAAATCCCCGAGTCGCTCGAGTCGATGGACTTGATGGAGGAGGGTGTCTCGATCCAGCTGGAGTCGGACAGGTCCTTGGGCTTGGCGTCCTCGGCGGCGCCGGGCGGTAGCGGCGAGCGCTCGGCGGCCAGGCCCTCGGCCTCCTCGCCCAAATAGGGGTTGGCGCCCGCCATGCGCGCGGCGGCCGCGGCGCTGTTGGGCCAGCAGGGCAGCACCGAGCCCGACTTGGCGCCGCAGTACTGCGGGGGGCTGCGCGCGCCCCAGCCCGACGGGTCGGCGTAGTAGCCGAGCGGACGGCCGGTGCAGCCCGCCGCCTGCAGCGGCAGCGCCTTCACGCCCGCCGCCGCGTAGGAGAGCAGCGTGGCCGCGTTGCCCGCGAAGTCCGTGGCTGTGTCGTAGGCCGAGGCGGCGAAGTCCAGCCGGTTGTTGGCCGGTGTCACAAACCAGCGCTGCGGCGACGGCGCGCCCGGGTCCTCGGCCTGCTGCGGCGACAGCAGCCCGTTGGTGTGGGGCACACTGCGGTCCGTGCCCGGCCCGGGGCCCGCGCCCGCACCCGGGTGGAAGCGGGCCTTGGCGTAGTTGCTCACGAACTGGTCCTGCAGGAAAGAGCCGGCCATAGCGTAACGGGCCCCGGGCACGATCTGCGAGCGCGGGGAATCGTTGGGCGAGGGGGTCAGGCGGTCCATGTCGCAGCCAGTGTAGATCCTGCGAGGGAAGGAGAGAGAGAGAGAACCGAGGGGTGGCAGAGAGGTCCCCTCGGGAGGCAAAGGGAAGGCCACCTCCACTTTTCGCCCACCCCCACACTCTCCGTCTGTAACTTGCGGTCCAGGGCGGAGACGGACAAAAGGTCACAAACTTGCGTCCTCCCCAAAATAAAATAAATCGTGAAATTGTAAAGAGGTCGGTTTGTCATTCAGGGACCTAGGCAAAACACAGATCAAGAGGAAGACTTCCCTGCCCCCTCGCTCCCTCTCACCAACTGTACAGGGGATTAGAGAGCGGAGCGCAGCAGGGGTTCTCATCCCACTTCTCCAAGGTCTGCGTAAACTTTAGGGCAGATTTGCCCGGGGACTAATGTGTTACTTGCCCAGTGGGCCTTTTCTGTGCAGTGAGTTTCTGAGCAAAATTTCTAAACAAGATACCCATTTCTTCACTCTTTGAAGAACACTTTCTTCCATCTGATACACACGCAGGCTATCCAGGTAGTAATCAAAAAAGACTGGCCTTCACCAGTCTTCTGAGGCTTGAGGACTGCTGCTGGAAGACTCCACAGTACTTACTGTCCATTGTTTCCCCCGTGTGATCCTTTAACCCCCACCTCTACCAATAATAAGAATTACTACTTGGAAACAAAGTCATCAATCAATAAAATTCTTTTACAAAGAAGAGGTTTTTTGTTTTGTTTTGTTTTGTTTTGTTTTTGTAAAGTAAGCTCCATGCCCAACGGGGGGCTTGAACTGACCACCCGAGATCAAGAGTGACCCCATGATCAAGAGTCGCATGCTCTACTGACTGAGCCAGCCGGGTGCTCCAAGAAAAAGGGTTCTCTACTCTTTTTCCAAGCTTTTGAACCGTTACTGGTAAATAATAATAATAATAAGTAAAAATTAAAATTAAAAATTAAAAAAAAAGACAAAAAGCAAAACAAAAAAAAAACGCCAAAAACTACCTTTGGGGCAACCTCTTACAGTGATTATCAACCTCCTCCAAGCTAACCCTTCTACAACTTGACTATGTGCCAGGCGCTGTTGTCTAGGACCGTACAGATAGTATTTTAGTTAACCATCACAACAATCCTCCCAGTTAGGTAGCATTATTATCCCACCTTACAGATGAGAAAACTGAGGCAAGGGGAAGTTAAATAACTTGCCCACAGACAGGAACTGTGTTACTGCGAATCACCTTAGGTGAAATAATGATTAACTCTAGGCCCTGGGCCTAGAAAATCCCATTAGAAGTGAGAGAGAACCAGAGATTGGATCAAGATTGGTAGAAGTGTTTTCTTCTACACATAGACACATGCCTCCCTTTTTATTTAGCTCACACATAAACGTTTTAATCTTTAATCAACACACTGTTTTGAGAGAGAGCCTCAGTCTTGTCACACCTTAATCCTTTGGGGAGGAGATTCCCTGGGGAATGGCCAAGCAACCTTCTAGTCCCCCTGAACTCTTATTGCTCACCCTCTTTCTCCAAAAGTGAGCCATGCCCAAAATATCAACATAAAAGGGGATAGGGTGGGTGGCATAAGCCATTTTGCTCTCCCCTGTCCCCTAATAACTAAGGTCTCCATTTGTATAGATAAAGAAGCTTTTATGGAAAATACACAGTTTAAGAATCAAAAAGAAGTGGCTTTTCCTACAGAAGTCAGCCAGAGGAGGACGGGTGAAGGTGATGCTGCTGCCCAGGTCCATTCTGCTTACCACACAAAATTTCCCTCCTGAAATTTAATTCCAGTTTCAAATAAGTAGAGGGAGGCAGGAAGGGAACATAACCAGCAAGGTGCAAATACCTTCTCTGTTTGCCACCACAATAGTTTAAAAAGAAAAAAAGCAGCCTGCAAAAGATACAGTTTAGATGCCCATCCAGGTCCCAATCCACTTGGGATTACTGAATTGATTTGTGCAAAATAAAATGCTTTGGAACAGATGTTCGCAACAGAATTAAAAGCTCAAAACCTACAAGACCCCCTAGTACAGAGACCAGTATCTCTGGTCTCCTGGGCCACACACTTTCCACAGTGCCGGGTCCACATTTTTAGATTGTGAGGACTAGAAAAGCTGAGTTTTTATTCTGGGGTATCATCTTGATGAGCCTTGCTTCCTCAAAACTACTTTTAAGGGAGGCACATGACAGTTATGGGCGGAAATATCAATGACTCTCTTTTCAATTTGTTATAAAAATATCAGGAGGAAACTTTGTTATCTACCTGGAGATGGAATAGAAGCAGCCACTTGTCTACTTCTCCATAAAATTAATCTATTTCTGGTCAAAGACAACTTCAACTTTGTAGCTCTATCCCAGGCACTTAATGCAAGCCATGAAATTAAAATTTATGTAGCCTTCCCTTTTATGGTCAGAATAAAAGGGGGGGATCCCGACAATCCAGATTTAGATTTTGCTATATAACACTATCTGAACTCTTGGGCACTATATCTGAACTCTGAGCAAGAATGCTAGAACAAGCCCAGAAAGCACTAAGTTTATATCTCTTGTTGCCCCCAGAGAACATCATTTGGACAGAAAAGACACGGAAGTAAGTAGGGGAGGCCCAGAGAAAAGGGTACCAACACATTTAATTAAAACACGCCTAGATGCAAAAGATAAAAGGAAATATTTTTCTTTTGAAGCTTATAAATAATACACAGCAACAACACCTGGGTCCTTCCCAAAGTCTGAAATAACTGTAACAGCAGCTCTGCTCATGACCTTGCCTATGGTGGGTGCACATTTTTATTCGGTCCATAGTAAACTTGCACAGGAAAAGCTATTACACAAAACTTGGAAATGGGTAAATAAAAGTCACATATGCCAAGGAGAATGTAACAACTGCCAGAGCCACATGCACTTTCCGGCAGAATCGGGAGGTTTCAGACACAGACAATCTGAGCTGAGCATCTGCAGCGCCACATACCGCTCCCGCACCCAGGAACCAGGACAGCTTCCCCAGCCAGCCAGCCCCAGAGGCCCGCCAACAACTTTGTAATTCATAAGGAAGATAAAAATAAGTGGAGGAAATCTTTGACCAAAACCACAAAAGCACCAAGCCAGAAAGTCACCAGAAAGAAGGGGAGCCCATAAAAAGGCAAGGGAAACCTTGGAAACAGCCTTGTCTTCACACACTCGAGCTTCCAAAAGCCTTGTACACAACAATCCACCTTTGACCTAAAGCCCAATTCCACAACTATTTGAGAAGGAAGGTGCAAAATTACTTACGTGTCATAATTATCCCGAAATCCTTTTGCAAAGGGGTTGTGATCTATTTTCAATTGTGTTATCTAGAAAAGACAAAAAAAAAAAAAAAAGATTAATACGGTCTCACCTTCTATGTAGGTGGATTAGGTGTTTACGAATGTAACACCACTTTTTACAGGGGCCTATGGCCCACAATTTCATTAAGTAGCAAGGTTTCCCTACCTGAAAAATTTGAGGGAATGAATAGAAAGGGAAAAAAGAGAAAGTATCATGAAAGTTATGAGAAACATGTTTAAATTAATGATGCCTAACACTAAAGGATTGCTTTCAATTAGCTCTCCCACGTGTTCTAAGTCAGTTAAAATGCACACTTTAAAAATGCCTGTTACAAAAAGGCAGAAATCTTTAAGGGGCACTATGAATTCATCACCAAATGTTGCCTATTTTAAGTGTTTCACCACATTTTTAAAAGTTGGTCACTTCTGATTCACAACCTCAAGAACCCATAACTGCATCTTAAAATCTGCTTTAATTTAAAATAAATGCATATTTTCATTTTTGATTCTTTCATTTAAGTTTTTCTTTAAAAATCCACCGTCACTCCTAGTAGTCAAATCAACAGAAGTAAAATAAGTTTTGGCGAACTTGCAAATGCTGAAGAGGTTCAAGTGCTAAAAAAAGTCGCTCCACAGCTTCCAGTAATTTTATTTATTGTACTTTTTAGATATGTGAATGTGTCTGTTCTTTTGATCACTCAAAAAGTGATGTTTGTTTATTTCAGCCATCAGTTCTGAGACTTTAATTTATTAATTAATTTATTTATTTTTAGATAATGCCAAAGCTTGCCAATAATAAAATGCAGGGGGAAATCTGCTTGTTTTCTAAATGGAAGAAGGACTCAAAAAAAAAAAAAAAAAGAGAGAGAGAGAGAGAGAGAGAGGGAGAGGGAGAAAGCAGATTTAAATCTGTTCTAGTTTGAGAACTAAATTAAAATTCCCAAAAGAAAAGGCCCTAGAAATCCTGGGCCCCTCAAAGGTGGCCCGTGTGACCCGCGATGGAGACGAATAGGAAGCGTTTCCCCACCGGCAAGGTATTCAGGGAAGGTGCCCAGCAGGCCCCTAGCCCTCCGCCCTTTTGGCGCAGCAGAGCCAGCTGTTGCTGATGTTAGTGCCCGAGCCGGGGATGGCGGGGGCTGCGGGCAGGTGCGGGGAGAAGCCGGAGCCGCCCGCCGCGCGCCCAGCCCCCAGGCCTCCTTACATCGGTGTTCTGGTAGGCGGTGACGGCGATGAACTGAGTCTCGGGGAAAGTGAATGTCTGCACGCGGCCAGGCTGGCTGGTGTCCTCCGTGCCGTCCTCGTTCACTTCCACCACATGCAGGCGGGGCTGGTACTTGTGCAAAGATTGTAAAACCACCATCTGTCCGGCGGAGAGAAAGGGGAGCGCGGGGCTGCGCGTTAGCGCGGTCAGTGTGCGCTGGGCTGGGGCCGCGGGCCGTGCCGGGGCTGGCTGGAGCCCGCCGCCCCGGCTAACTGACCGTGGGACTCGCCGGGCAGGTGACCGGCTAGCTGGGGCAAGACCAGCCCTGGTTCCTCCGGAGCAAAGATCACCGGAGCACCGGAGGAAAACCGAACCCGACTGCCTGGTCGTCAGGGCCTCCCAATCCGCCTAGCCCTTCTTTTAGGAGGAACAAAGATTTTTACAACCCCAGATCCTGTGGGTTTCCTTTTCGAAATCAATCATTTGTACAGTACTTGGGAAGGTCGGGAACTCGGGAATTGGGCGGAGGGCAAGAACAACTTTATAGGAGTGTGGAAATAGAATTTTTAAAACGTCTTTTTAATGTAGCAAAGAAACGTATGTCCAGTTTCTCATGCTGATTTAAACTAACGGACTGGATGTTAGCGAGAGACGTACGTGTGTGTGTGTGAGAGAGAGAGAGAGAGAGAGGAGAGAGAGTTGGGTGGGGGGAAGGAGCGCTTGAGCCACTGACCTGCCCATTGTTGTTTGAAGCTCCTTTGTTGTTTGTAAGTTTTAATTTTCCAAAAGAGATTTCTTGGCGCATCCAGTGAGCCCCCGTGTTGGGGGAATCCGGATGCATATAGACCCGATTTCCTAGAGAAAGAAATACATTGTTTACATATGCCCCGGGCACTGCCCAGTCCCAACTCCTCACCGCGTAGGACACACACGCACACACACACACACACACACACACACCTTATTCCACAGTGAGGCCCATTAGCTGGGGGTTTTTTTAGGCCTCGCTTTCTTCCTATTAACTGGAGATGATTAAAATAGCTTTTGCATAATCCTCCCCCTTCTCGCTGCTCAGTCTGTCCCCCTATCCCCCTCGTTTCCTTTTAGAAGTCATTGGCCGATCGTTTTAAAAGTCTCTCGAGCCAGTCCACAAAGGCTTTAATTAATCATTCTCACCTAAATAAGTGTCAGGAAAATGTGTTAATTGGAAGGACTTGCCTTGCACATTGGTGTCCGCTTTGCCGCAAGGAACCCATTTGCCTCCTTGAAACCTCCAGTGATTGGGATCCGCCAAAATCACATCCACAAAAATATTGTAATGAGCCGTGGGATCGAGACCAGAAATGTTAAAACTTAAAAAAGGAAACATGCGCCTATTTAAATTAAAGGGGGGGGGGAGAGAGAAAACAAGAGAAAAAAAAAAACACATAAATGTTAAAGATTAAATGCAAGAAGCGCGGCGCCAGATAGCAAAGCAAAACTTGTTCTTCCAGCGTGGATGAGCGAATGTTTGCTGGGTTAGAGAAGGGGTGGTGGGGGAGGAAAAGAAGTGAAGCTGAAGTCGGGGAGATCGGCGGGTGAGCTGTGGAGTGAGGAGTCGGCAGGTGTCACTGCCCAGGTGGAGAGTGAGGTTGGCGACCCGCACCTCCACCTGCCCTTGGTTCCGGGAGTTGATGCGTCCCTACAATTTCCCAGCCTCAGGCCGGGACTCTCCCTCTCGCCTTTCTCCGGCCCCTGACTGGTTCTCTGACCACCTTTCTAGCGGGAACCCCCTTACCAACATCACCGCGGCGGTTATACCTTCCACTTTCCCTTTTTCCAAAACCAGCCAACTCCAGGGCGCACCAGAGCGCCTTCCACTCCGCTCCCGACCCCAACACATCGCTACCGGGGTTAGTCACAACCCAGCGCTCTTGCCCCCGGGCCGTGCCTGGAGCAGCGACTGCCAAGAATGTAGCATTACCTTCCCTGTTTGGTGATGATCATCTCCGTTTGGTGGCGGTGAAATTTCAGCCAGAGGGGCCTGTTGCACAGGTACACCTGCGCTTTGCCGGGTACCAGTCCGGGCTGCGTGGAAGAGAACTGGTAGAACGGGGCTCCTTGGTAGGAGTGGCTGTACTGCTGTGGGTAGGGGTAGCCGGCCGCGGGGTAGCCCTGCGGTGAGGAGTTGGACAGGAGGCTGTTGTAGGCTCCGTTGGTGATGACCGGGTGGTGGGCCATGTAGCGGCTGGGACTGCCGATGGAGAAGGCGGGGTGCGCCGGTCCGTGCTGGCCGGGGTACGGGAACATGGCACTGGGAGCAGTGGCCGCAGACTGTGGCTGGCTGGACTGAGAGAGGAGGTAGCGATCTGCAGCAGAGCCATCGAAACTGTGACGAAGCTCAGAGACCCCGTCCAAGACAGGAGAGAGTTTACTTCTCTGGACGTCCCCTGGTGAGTCCTTGGAGTCAGGAAAATTGTCTGTATCTGACTGATTCGTCATCCCCCTGGTAATTTTTTTCAAAGGTGAACTTCTCTCCAGGTTGTCAGTGGTCGAGATAATGGGATGATCGTGCAAGACAAGCTCAGATCCGCCTGAATGTGGGTAGCTGCTGCTCACATTGAGAAATTTCTTGGAGAGCATGATAGAAGGAGAAAGGCAGTGCTCCAGCTGCATAGCTCTAGAACCTGAACACTCGCCCTCCTGTCCCTGGTTTTTAAAGTCCTATTTATCATAAACTAGAAATCCACAGACCCCCTCACTAGACAGAAAGCACTTCAACCAGCAAATGCTTCTCAAAGGTTTGATTTACTTTTTTTTTTTCCCTGGGAGAAGAGATTGGCCAATTGACACTATGCAGCAATCAGAAAAGGCTCACTTTTGATCTTGCTGCTTGTGCAGCCGATGAAACGGCTCCTGCCATTGGTTAACTGCTGACAGTAATTTAATTAGATAGACATTAATTAGGATAATCACCTGGCTCCTGGTCGCGACGATCATGGCAAATTGAAGGGAATGATTTTATTGTTGGCTTGGGGGTGGGGAATGTGTGTTGGCTTTACGTGAGCACTGTTGTGTCACCTTTAAGCTTTGTGACCACTGCTTTAGGAAGATTCAAAGATGTGCAATTTACTAAACATTTCTCTACCTTCCCCCCACCTCCCTCCTCTCCAGCCGAGGGGCGGAGGAGGGAATTCGATGATGCTAGGAGACTTTTCGGATCTGAATGAGCCAAATATTCAGTTGAATGTAACGATTTCAAGTGCAAAGTATACAAAGCGCGAGCCGGTGGCCTCTTCTCGCCCTGTAAAAGTTCCAGAGTCTGTCTTTTCCAGTTAATACAGAAGCACATAACACCTGAGCCAGTCCTTTGTGAGCAGGTCCTGCGTGTCCTCGGCGAACCGCCCCCCCCACCACGCACACCTTTTTAACTACATACATAAATAAATAAATCACTGCTGCTGAGAGCCACAGCGATGAAAGTGAGCGGGAGGGGGGAGAAGTGGGGGCGAAAAGCTGCAACTCACCCACCCATCCACCCACCTCGGGAAGGTTCGGTTTCTTGCTTGAGCACAGAAACAGTGACAATCCATGATCACCTTTTTAAGTTTTGAAATAATCATAAGCTGTCGGGCTGAAGTGCTTTAATGTATTTGCAGTGATGTTTACGAGGTCTTTACTAAATATTTTATCAGCGAGCTTGGTTGCAGATTATCTGAAGAGCATCTAACTGGGGGCAGGCGCCATGCATGCCGCGCGTCCCACTGCACTTCCTTCTCTCTGAGGTACTGGCTTGGCGACAAGGTTCAAAAGCCTCGCCAGGAAAAGAAAGGGCCGAGTCCTCGTGCAAATGGGTTCGCTGGAAGCCCTGATCTGGGGAGACAGAGTGGAAGTGGTGTCAACGCAGTGATCGATACCGAAGACGTGTGTGTGTGTGTGTGTGTGCGCGTGCAACGTTTATATAATCTGGAGGGGAGGAAGAAAAAAAAACCCCATGCCAGTAAGTTTTAAATGAGGAAGAATCTACGGAGGAATAAAGAAAATAACCAATTTAAAAGGATGTTGGCACAAATAAATAGCACGAGGCCCAAAGCGACCCTGAGATGTCGGAAGAAATCTCCCAGTACTGGCTCTAGAGAGGAACCCAGCCCTGCGCCTGGACCAGAGGGCCGAGAGCACAGAGGCTTTATCCGCCCCAAGTTGCTTCCGGCGGCGGCACCCGCCAATCTGCCCTCCTGCGGCTTTCCCCGGGACGCCGAGCCGCGCGGGAAGGAGGAGGAGGAGCGCGGAGGGAGCTCAGTTGGGCCCCGCAGGCTGGCCGACAGGCGGGCGGGCTCCGCGCCGAGCACTGCTAGGGCTGGCAGCCGAGCGGCCTTCCCCGCGCCCGGCCATCCGCCCGGCTCTGGTCCATTGTCTAACGTCCCCGAGCGGCCTGAGCGTAGGCTGTCCAGCTCCCCGGCAGTCCCGAGAGGCAGCCGCCGCCCGGGAGGCTCAGGGAGCTTGGGGAGAGCCGCGCTGGCGCAGACGCCGGGGGCACACACTCTTCCAGTGGCAGAGGCACGGCCCGGGAACCTCCGCCCGGTGCAGCCGAAGCCTTCGAGAGGGCGCGTCAGCCCTCCTCGGGCCTCGGCACCTCCCTGACGGAGAGCGGCGCTGGGGACATTGGGTGGGTCCTGGACTTGGGCAGAGAGGGGTTAACCAGACTCGACTTCCGCCTAGGCGGACGCCTTTTTAAAGAGCGCTGCCTCAGTGGGCCGAACGGTCAGCGCGGAGCCCAGCCTGAGTCCTCGAGGCGGGCTGGGCGCCTTGGCTGCAGAGGGCACCAGCTGTGCCTCCAGCAGGGCGCCGCGAGCCAGGCCCAGCAGGGCGCCGCGAGCCAGGCCCAGCGCGGACGGCCCTGGGCTGGACAAGTGGGTGACCAGATGTCCGACTGAAGCTGAGACAGTTTTCTGAGAGAAGAATACAGCCAGACCCATTTTTCCTTTCGGAAGCAAAGCTCAGCTCCTGGCCATGAAGCTTCATCAACAAGCAGGGCCTTGGCTGTTGAGGCTTCGGGGTGCGGGGGAGGGGACAGTAGCTATGACACTATTTGACACTTGGTATTTCTGCCCTTTACCTTCCACCACCATTTCTCCTGAGAGGTTTTTGCCCAATTTTGGCTAGACTTGTTTTCTCCTTTCTTCGATCATTAACTTCTTTGTCTCTGAGGGCCTCTCTGTCCCCTGCTTCCAAGGTTACCCTCCGCCCCTTTCTCAGTGGGCCAAGAGCCTTAAGTAGGCAGGCGAAAAGGCAAGACTGCACCTGGGCTCTTGAGGCTTTCTCATTCATGGCATCCTGAATTAACTTTTTAAAGAATGAAGAATGCAAAAATGAAATGTTAAAGTATAGAAAAGGAATAGGGTGAACCTTCCTCAGTTTTTAAGGAATTGGAATAGGCGATAAATGTGCAAGTCTGACTTAAGATTATCAGTACTAAATTCAGTGATTCCTCATTACAGGCTATATCTTGAACTTACATATGCTCAAAAGGGAAAACTCACTTTCCTCAAGATCAGCACACCTGCTCTTGAGCCATACTTGCGTGCAGCAGGGATTCTCAGACTTTAAAGTGCATATGAGCCTTGCCAGGATTCTTGATTCAGGTCTGAAGTGGGGGCCTGGATTCTCTATATATAATGAGCTCCCAGAAGAGCCAGGTGCTCCTGGTCCAGGCAGATCACACTGTATAGTGAGGTTGGAGCTTCCAATGGCCCCATGTTAGTCAAAGAGGAAAGCAGGGACATCTCTATACTAGAGGCAAGCAGGCGTTTTGGTTCTTGTGCTGCTTTAACGCTGCATAATAGATGGGTAAAGATGCCCACATAAGCACATACACACCTTACTGAGCTTGTGATTAAATAAGTCATTTCAATGCCTAACTGGACCTGAGCCACCAGGCTGCTGCTAAAATAGCTGTACATTCCAGGACAAAAGTGTTCATTGAGACTCAGAGCATCCTAATTTTGATCCATTCCAAATCTCGAAAGAAAATGCAGGTTTTTGCTAGGAGGGATCCTGGTAAGGTTTTGAAATTGGGAGTGTTTCCAACATGAACCAAGTAGGAGAAAGTGGTACTGGTTGTGGGGAGTCCATGACAATGAGGTGATCAAATAAGAGCAAAAGGCAGGCATTGTGTAAGCCTTCTCAGATGTTTTCAGGAGACTAAAATGAAAAACAAAAAAAAAGTATTTCAAATGGAATGTTGAGAATAGCCCCTAGATTATTGAGGCCTTCTTCTAAGGGCATACTGTATGAAAAAAATCTTGACTAGCTCCAATGATTATCTGTGAAATAAATCATAGAACCTTATTTATGTAAAGGGAAAGATCATGTATTCAAAAAGTCTGCACACAAGATTAAATTAGGCAAAAGGAAAACTTCTGCTAACTTCCACTTATATTTTAATTGTAAATGGTTAGCTGTTGTAATCTCAACAATTAATACATATTACATGTCCTACATAAAACATACTATGACTATATATAAGAGAAAAAGCCACAGGACAAGCAAATGCTCAGAATACCTCTTATTCTGCCAAAAAAAGAGACTGTGAAACATAGTGAGAATTTAAGCCATTTCTACTTTTAGTTTCTGGTAATTGTTCATTAGGCAACCAGTAAGAGACTAGAATTGTTCAAATAGGACAGTAATTTGGTCTACCACACATTCCTACCACCTCTAGTAGGGGTTAAGTCTAAATTCCAAGTCCCCAAGTAAAACCCTCTTTTAATGAAGCCTTAGAAACAAACATTTTACCATATTTTCACAAAGGACACAGACAAGAATTAAATCTGTCTCCATATGTTTTCCCATACTCCTTGGTATACCCAGAATGGTGCTGTGCCATGGGTATTAATGGGGGCAGTTATTTATGTATATCAGGTTAGAAACAGGTTGAGGGATAAGGTCATCTATAAAACCTGCTATTAGTCAAATTTGTGTCTTTATCAGAAAACTGAGTACTTTTAAGTTAATTTGGGAAGATGAGAGAAAACAGTAACAAAATTATTTCTTATGTGCTCATGATACTAAATTCACATTATGGTGCCTTTTCTTAATTTGCTTTGAAGAGATTATACACCTTCTATGGCTGTCTTAGCTAAAAGTTTAGTGGAGTTTGAAGCAGGCAGCTTCCAGGTAATCTCAACATTGGTAGAATGTACTCTTTAAAAAAAATAATAAAGTCTAAATTAACATTGTTCCCTTTTTCTTCTTAAATGTACTCCTCTGAAACCCTGGAAAGTATAATATGTTAAGATACTGACTATATGATATTAATTTGTGACAGATACTTTTAATAAAATATGTCAATATTTTTTTCTGGGTTACTCACTAATGGGGTAGCAACTCCTTAATGGTGATCATTTTATATTTGTGAAGTTTTGTTATCACACTGATGTTTTATGTGTCATAAGATCTTAAATTGCAAAGAGAAACATATCTTTGTGTGAGATTTTGAGAGCACTGTCAAATGTTACTCTCTCAATTCCACCCAGTGCCAAAAAACCTCAGGAGACATAGATTGTAAATGTATTTTATTTTGTAAGCAACAATCAAAATATATTTGTGTTACTGATTTCTTCAAATATTAAATGGGATCTTAACAAAATTTGTCCACTTTGATGTATTCTTATACAACTTTGGAATCTGCAAAGACCCTGACTAAAGAAACAGAAGTAATTGCACAACCGAGACTGAAGGTGTTACAGTACTGCAAATGATGCCAGATGTCTTACATTTAACCAAACACACCTTCAGAGGTCCCTTGATTTTGAGCATTAGGAACAATAGAGGAATATACGCTGAAAGTATCACCAATAGCTTTTTGCATTGTTTTATTTAAATACGACAGTATCCAACATAGCTGCTAAACACTGGACAATATTTGAAGTCATAAGTACATCCACATGTTCCTCCAAATGACGTTTGGGGTCCTAAATAAAAAAATAAGGAAAGAAAAAGAAAAAAGAACCATATTACTGATAGAAGAATTACTTAAAGTAGTTGATGAAATTGGTAAAGAAAGTCAAACCTAAATTTATATATATTTTACAATTTAATTTTCCTAATATATTGTTATGTTCTTAGATAAAACCTGATAAAATAAGATTACACAATGAAAAACTGATTTATATAAAACCTGATAAAATAATAGATTACACAGTAAAAAACTTATTTATACAATCAATACTTCGACTCTATACCAGAAATTATAGAGTAACAAGGAATTCTATACAGCTGCAGCATCTGATTTTTTAAAAACAAAGTATAAGCATTTATAAGTGTACATAAGCCCAAGAATGTGTGCATATTTTCTGCCATTCATATTTATTGACTGTCTAAGAGGTTCTTTACTCGAAGCAGACGTACCAATAGGTAAAAGTTCAATGTGAATTCTTTCTCATCACTTCCTCTGCAATTTTAATTTAAATTTAATTCCTGTAGAATTTTAGTATTTCAGGAAAAAGTGCTTTAAATGATTCAGGAAATACTCTTGGATCAAAAGTCACTGTTAGTTGTTTAAAAATTTAAATACAATGTTAAGATACACATAATTTACATGTATATAATGTGTATAAAATAATGCTAAGAACACATATTTTCTGCAGCTATTTTGAAAAAATAAGGTATCAGAGAAAAGCATATAGGTACAATCTTTTAACTGAAACCTGATCAAATCTATATTTGAAACATCTGAGTTAAAAATGAGCTTAAAATAACACTGTAATAAATGAAGTTAAATTAAAATGCTTAAATATATTTATGTTTAAGGCTGAGCTGAATGAAGTATTTCAACTAAATGTGAAAGCTTTAAAATATATATTGCACACAATAAAAAATTCTCAAAGCATTATTTTTGTATGGGTATTGCTAAAATACTCACGACTCCTGACTTTAAACAAATGCTCATCACTGGAATTATTTCTTGGCTGTTCTTTTCTAAATTACAATTTCAATACATGCTTGATTTCCTTAAACAACCCAGAGATGCAACATGCTACAAATAATTTCAAGTAATTAGGCCACATATTAAATTTTCTTTATTTCAGAAATAAGCCTTAGGACATTTTAGGTGAAAGTGTCTAAGAAAGACTGGCAGAGGTAAAAGATAGTGATCTGATTCCATTACAGACAGTTTTGCTTTTGCCACGCAATAGGCTAAACCAGTTAAATGCTAGATTAAAAAAAATGATTCTGATGATTATTCGACTTTGCCCATTACATATTTTTCAGCTTCACTTTTAATTTAGACCTTTTATTTGTTGCTAACTGCTAAAATCTACATCGTAGCCTCACAGTCATTTATTCAAAAAACAGTGAGTTCTATCAAGTGCAAGACTCCAAGTTGGTGATCTAATAATATATATTAGGACTACAGTAAGTAGTGGGAAAAGACAAGGTAACCAGATCACACAGGATGAGAGAACACGATGAACTATACTTCATTTTGTTTGGGGAGGGTTCTAGCTGTTTTTAAATTATAATATTCAGAATGTAGTGAGATTTAATTTCACTAATTATGATATTTAAGTCAGACCTTTGCCCCTACTGCTCTGTTGGAGTAACTGGTTTTGTAGTGAACTGGTAACACACTTCCCTCAGTTATCTACATTACTTCTTGTGGCAGCTGGGTGATTCTTAGAGATTTCCCATCCAAGAATGGTCCTGGCCCAAACCTACATAGCTTGTGAGATGTGATGGGATCAGAGCATATGGTAGGATGGCTGAAAGCAAAGACAGCTTAGTGTCTTGCATCTGAAATATCAAGATTCTGCCAACATCAGCAATATGATAACCATGTTCCATGAAATGAAAAAAATGTAATCAACATTCTTTAAAAAACAGTCTAATTAATCTGTAGATTCTTTTAATTGGCTGGTGTGTTCCCCCAACCCTCAGAAAATAGGAACTAAAATATATATTTCATCTTGGAAATGTGAAAGAGCAAATACTTAAAACCCCTTCTCCTCACTCACTACAATCCAATGGGGCTCTCAGCCTTCTCAGGAACATTACCTACAAACTGAAGCCTACATATTGACAAACTGTATCATTTAAAAAACTGTTACATATGAAATAAACCATTATATTATCTTCACCGATAATATTATTTCAAGTAAAAATAATACCTGAATAATTAACTCAGGACATAAGTTTCTTGATTTATTTCTAGTAAATCATTTTCACTAAAGATAGTATCTTACAGATCTATTTGTGACTTCACTATATATGGCAAAGAGAATTTGACATCAAGTAATTCAGTGACCTTTAAAATTAGCATCATAGTTACAGGACAAAAGAAAAATGTAGAGTGAACAAACAGGGGAAAAAAAATCATACAGGCCCTCCCACAGCTTTAACTCTACAAGAGCACGTCATTGTGCGACCGCATAACCTATTCCAGTATACCTCACCTGCTTGCCGACATTCTTTATTGCCAGCTGTTCTGCTGTCATCTTATCTTCTTCTTCTACAGCCTGTGAATGAGACACAAAGGACAGAGTTTCAAATCCCGAATTTACTTTTCCCACCGCAGAACACTCAACTGAGGACAATGGTGATCATAATTTTCATTCACAGAACCTTTTATTCAAGTGACTTACTAAACAAAAAAGCAAGTTTGCTAATCTTCAGAATAACCTTCAGTGTAATAAAAACTATTACCGCCATCATTTATGTTTATTGTATTTTTATTTTATTTTATTTATTTATTTGAGAGAGAGAGCGAGAGAGCACAAGCAGGGGGAGTGGCAGAGAGAAAGGCAGGCCCCCTGCTAAGCAGGGAGCCGGGCTCCACAAGGGGCTCGATCCCAGGACCCCAGGATCATGACTGGAGCCGAAGGCAGACACTTAAGTGACTGAGCCACCCAGGCCCCTACCACCATCATTTTGAAAACAGACTTAAGAAATACGTAAAAGACACCGAATATGTCAAACTGGACCACCACATGGTAGTATTCACCATCTGGAAACTGTTACAGAATTCTTTGAGGGATGGCTAAAGTGGAGAGAAGTACCTGAGGCAGTTCTTACGGCACCATGGTGCTAACTAGTCCTATTCTGTCTTCTTTTCCTTGTTCTACTTTCATTACACCTCTGCCCCAACTTCCCATTTCTTTGTCGCCTTTTTTTGGTCAACTGAACCCGTGCACACCCAGTATCCATTTAACTATGAGCAGCTCTTAGGATCAAAGGAGCTGCTGCCTTTTGATCCACTTAACAAATCATATAGTTTTCTCCCTTCATAACTCTACATATTTAAATCTCTAAAAGTAGTACATGTATTCAGAAAAAAAATCTCACTTTTCCATGACTGATCTTTAGTAATCATGAAGAAACAGAGTAATCTGAAGTTTTTAATAGGAAAAACTTACTTGAATTAAAAGCCAAATCAAGTAAAATTAAATCAACAAAACAATATACACAAACCATTTTCTACTATTTTCAGTTAGCTACAAACTCTCATGTGTATGACCATAAATTTTCTAGCAGGTAATTACGAAAGAATTACAGCATGTAGATTAGCTATCACCACTGCCCCCTCTCTCAACAACGGCACCACCATAAAACCTCTTTATTGAGAAGTAACCTCCTTCAGAGTTTGGGTAATTTTCTCTGAAGCCAGGACTCTGTATCAGGTGAACTCCTGGTCTATGATTATTCATAGCATCTGATAAGTGGAAAACACAGAAAACTGAAGGATCGTCAACCTTAAGAAATAACACCACAGCACTTACCACAAATATGATTACAAAAGGGGTGAGATGGTGGGGGTGGAAGGCAGGAAACCAAAATCCCAGTGAGGGTTAGATTTGGATACTCTAAACTTAATAGTCTCGCAGCTGCCAAATTTCTTCATGTGTGAACAATGAACATGTAGGAAATGCAATCATCAGACATTTCCCATAAACTGGGAAGTTTGGCTGCATTTCACACCTTCTTAATAGTTTTGTAAACAGAGAACTTGAAAATGAGCAAAGATGGCAAGTGTCTAATTTTATAAATGGACAAACTATCTAGAGAATTTTCCCCAGTAGAACCTGCCTAAAGAGAAAAGATGGTGAATAAGTACTGTATCTACTGATTATTAGAGGATACTTATTTACAACACATCATTAAGAAAATACGTTTATGACTCATAAACCTGGAAGAAGGAAAAATAAAAGCTAATAACACTCCAAATCTAGAATTCCCTAGAGAATATGTTCATTTTCAGAGTCAGATGTCACTCCTATTATGCTCAACTAGTAAAAAAGTATTACCTAAGTGGGAAATTGCTTCTCCCACTATCTCAATGTTTTACATATATAGAAACATGAGCAACACATAAAAAGTTTGTTTTTCTCAATTACTTTTACAAATCATGACACTATACCTTACCAACTTGAAAACATTATTGGATGAATGAATGGAACAATTCACATTAGTTTGTACTCTGCATTCATTCAGTGTTAGCTGCTTTATGCACATGTCAAAAACAGTACAGTACTGGAAGGAGGTAAGAGTTTTGGAATTTGGCTCAAAATACCAGTCAATGTACAAATAGTTATTACAAAGTATTTTGGAGTACTGCAAATATCAAAGATGGCAGGTATGCAAAGATGAAAGTCAAAAAACACTGATCTTATTTAAAAGGTTAAATAGGATGTAAAAAGCTCTAACTTAATTTTTAAAATCTTTTACATCATTTAACCACTTTACCAATTAGTTTTTCCATTTCCAATAATTAAAAGAGAGAGTTCACAAACTCTTTGAGAAGTGCAGATGGTAAAAAGTACTCCCAGCCATAGATGCCATCTGGAAAATGAGGAGCAGCTGTAGATTTAGGCATATACTAAGGTTGCAAACCCCCATGACAAAGAATAAGCACATCTTTTTCATTCTAAGATAGACCAGAGCAGACCAGATCATCACATCAAACCCTTAAATATTTTCTCCACTTACCTAAGTCACCTATATCTCATCTACCATCTGGGCAAGACCAGTTTGTCTTCATTCATAGTTCTAATCTGGCTAGTCACCAGGAAAAATTAAGAAATGGTAGCAGCAGAAACAAATGAAATTCAGGCACAGGCAGTGTCCTAACTAGGGGAACTTCTGTGTTTATGGCAACTTCTGTGATTTGGCATCAAATTTTGCTTTTGCATTCATGCTCTTCGGTTTACTCAACCAACAAAAAAGCACTGAAAATGTTTGTGGCTATTCACACTAGAAACGTTTTTAACAGTTTATCAACAAAGACCCCCAGATGGCTATCCCATCATGCACGGTCTGCACAGTTCTAAGAAATTCCTAGAATTTGGTCTGTTATGTTATCATAATCCCCTCAGATGTACCCCCATCTTAAAGAGGCTTTTACAAAACCCATTAGCTTCTCTTTTTTCTGGTAATGGTCAAATTTATTAAATGGAAAACCAGTATCTTAGATTCTACCATTTAATCTACCCTTTAATAAATATGGACTGGATTCTTTGCACTTCATTAACACTCTTTTAAGGATCTCCACCACGTAAATTCCAACGAACTCAGTTTTCTTGGACTTTCTGAATGCCTTTAGGAGCTTCTCCAATACCTGTTTTCCCTTCTAATCCTTTAACCTCTCTGCTTTTATGATACCGTGTCTCTTACTCCACACTTCTCTAGTCCTTGGGCTTCTTCTTTTCCCTTTGAAATGTTAACTTTCTTCACTCTATAACATGCCATACTCCCACTTAAACACATGCTTTCTAAAATCACATATATGGTAATTTTTTTCACCATTAAACAAACTCTGAGTAACTGCTAGTGCATTTTAAGATAATGTATTTTACTCCTTTCTTGATTTTATGTGAGGTCAATGTATTGACTATATAACTGAAAATCACATTACTGGGTTAAGGTAGTAGAGAATGAGTTTAAAGAAACAGCTTTTATAAAACATACTTGGGAAAGCAAATTTAACAAACACGAAACAATTAGAAATCTGAGACAGGATAAGAGGTGTGAGTTTGGAGAAAATTGGTTTTCCTACCACTATCAGTAATTAAATATTACCATACACGTGCTTTTACAAATATTAATTTACTGAATCCTTAAAACATCCCAGTGAATTCACGTAATCTACATTTTACATATGAAGAAATTAGGCACCTTTGAGGAACTATATGTTAATTCCAGCAATACTTCTATTATAAAAAAACGTATTTCTAACTCTCCTTTTGGAATAGCTTATAACACTCCAGTACATTCTATACATGTCCTCAACGGGAGAATTTTCATTTTACATATTGGTAATCACTCATTCTGAGTAAGACAGTTCTTGCTCTTCAAGGAGCTCACATTTGGGCTTTACTTGCCTATAAATCTCACACCGCAATGCAGTATGAAATATACAAAAATGGAGTGTGCACAGAGAACAACAGGGACACATACAGCCATACAGCTAATAAGCAATGCAAGTGTGACTTCAACAGTACTATCTATTTCCAAAGACCTTGAAGCAACATTCATGACAATTCAGGAAATGATTAGTTTTTAATGACACATCCTAAATAATAACAAAGCCAAATCCATGATTTAATAAATGGCCTGAACAGCATAAATTCTTTCTAAAAATCTTACAGGGAATCCAATTTTCAAGTGTAATTACACAAAATAGAAATATACAATAAAGATCGTATGTGTATGTGTGTGCACACATAATGGAAACTGTAGTTCAGCTTGTTGAAAAAATTTCTATGGCAGAATCTATTTGCTGCCTACCCAATATATATTTTCCCCTTCTTTTGTAATATAACCCTGATTTTAGTAAAGGCAGTGATGCTCCCAGGTAAAAGACCACACTAGGGGCGCCTGGGTGGCTCATTCGTTAAGCATCCACCTTCAGCTCAGGTCATGATCCCAGGGTCCTGGGATTGAGCCCCGTTAGGGCTCTCTGCTCAGCGGGAAGCCTGCTTCTCCCTCTCCCACTCCCCCTGTGTTCCCTCTCTCGCTGTGTCTCTCTCTGTCAAATAAATAAATAAAATATTTAAAAAAAAAAAAAGACCACACTATATAGCCTTTCGCAAAGCAAGGTGTGTCCGCTTGAGTTCTGCCAGTGAAATATAATCAGAAGTGCTGCTGGGTAGGACTTAAGAAAAGGATTGTGAAAGGGAATTGATTTAGCTGGGAAGTAACCCCCCTTTTGCCCTTCCTTTTTTACCTGTTGCTGGGAACTTGGATGGGATAGCTAAAGCTCTAGCAATCACTGTGAATCATGAGGATATCTATAGGATGGAAGTCAATATAAGGGAAGTGGAGCAAAAGATAGAAGGAATCGGGGTTTGGGGCACCTGGGTGGCTCAGTCGGTTGAGCATCCAGGTTTCACTCAGGTCACGATCTCAGGGTCGTGAGACTGAGTCCTGAGTCAGTCTCCACACTCAGTGGGGAGTCTGCTTGAGATTCTCTCTCTCCCTCTCCCTTTGTCCCTCCACCCCCGTGCACTCTCTCTCTTTCTCT